GCGCCGCTCCGCGCCGCTCCGCGCTCGCCCTCTTTCCCCCGCTCCCTGGGAAGCAAAGGTCACCGCTTGCGCCCGGTCCGGCTCCCGGCCGCTGCCGAGCTGGAAATCAGGAAGCAGCGTGCCCTATTTGTCAAGCGTTTGACAGCTGAGTTCATTAAGGCTTAAATAAGAAGGAATAAAAGTAAAAAATGTTTACGTACCGGGCGTCTCTTTTTCGGCAGCTACCAAAGAGCTAGGTGTGCAGAGAGAGGGACTGCACCCTTTGTATATTATATTCTTGGGATCTCTTCAGTTTTCAAGTCTGATAGAGTCCTTTGCTTGGCAGATTAATGACGACTCCCTGTTTCTTAAGGGACGTGCTGAATTAATTATTTCGCAAATCACGTGGTCAGGACTTGTAGAAATCTATTCTTATCATCTTCCTTGCACTTTGAAATTCTGCCTGTTATGACTGTTCCTAGCAAGATTATTTTGGTCTCTAGGCTTGAGGGGGGTGGGAGAAAAAAAAAAAAAAAAAAAAAAAGGAAAAAGAATCAGGGGAAAGGGCTAACAAACATGGCCGTTGGAAGCGGTGTGGCTCTGCACCGAGAGGTCCCTATTTACTGTACTGTACAGTGAGTGGGCTTTGCTATTGACTCTGCCTTTCCCCTTCATTCTTACCTTAACGACTAGTGGTGATATAATATACAGAACTGTATTGATGTATCGGGAGTAACAGGAGGAGCCATTAAGCAGGAGAGAGGGAAAGTATAATCACAAAATGTGCCTCGGTATTTAAACTTAGCGAGCGTGTGCTCAGAAAGGCACACGCACCCTCCCCTCCGTGCACTCCGGGCAGCAAGGGCACACGCCTCGTCCCGTGCACCACGCTCCTTCCCCGGGCTGAGCAGGAGCCTGGCTTTTTGGACTCGTGCCTTGACCACGCTGCAGGAGAGAACGAGCCCTCAGTGACAAATATTTATGGCAAAAATAGTGCAATCGACTTCTCCTGGCCGGAGGTATGTGATATTGTCTGAGGTGCTTACGCAGGGGAGAAAAAAATGATGTTTGCCTTAGGTGGACGGGAAAGTTTAAACTCTCCAGGTTTGTGTTTTCTTGTGATCCTTCGTTTGTATCGGCTGAAAAAGTGAAGCTTCCTGCTCAGAGAAAGCTACTCAGTGCATCGCAATTTCAGATGTCCATTTCTTTTTAAATTGATACGTTCCAGGACTCACCTAAAAGGCACACATCTGTGTGGGGATCGAGGTGGCTTCAGGTGTGGCTCCTCGCCTACTACCACACATGCATAAATCCGGGAGTCATTCTAGGAGGGCTTGTTAAATGCAAAGCAGTAGCAAATGGATGACAGGCACTTTTAACTGCAGCCTAAATGTAAATATAGACTCCAGCTTGGCCTAGAGTCACACCATTATGGCTGGGGCAATCAGCAAACCTGTTCAAAGGGACATTTGGAAGGATGCTATGCAGAGTCACTCATCTTTTAACACTGTAATGATGGGAGGGACCAACATTTTCACAGAAGAGACCCACCTTGTAGGGACTGTTTGTTCAAGGTACAAACCAGAAGCTATTTCTCTACACCTTTTATTATTTCAAATGTATATGGAGGGCTTACATCAAAACTACAGGCGACAATTATTATAAATAGCGCTTTAATCAATGGCAGCAAAACATTGGCAAAGTCTATAAAAAGCATCACACTTCAACAGAGATGAGAGCATTGCTGGACAATGCGACCATTCGACAAAGGCTCCAATGCACAACGTTTCACCCATGATAGACAAAAATAACCAGCTTCCCTGCCTACACAAAGTAACTCCGGAGGAGGGCTAAAAACCAATAAAAAATAAACCTCAGGTTTGTTTTCTGTGGGAGATAATGTCCAGTGGGTGCTTCTGGTCGTTATTACAGACATTCCTGACCCTTCAGGGCACTGGCAGCTGGAAACTATTTCTTTTGGTACTTTCTGCCTCCAGTTCATATATTCTGCCAGCTTACAGCACAATTACAACTATGTAAACTTACAGTGCCCCGGCCTCGCTCAAAGGGGACTTGCAAACAGGGTTGTAAGAACTGTGCCTGCTAGCTGAACCCAACACTCGTCCTGGAGATATTAACATTTCAAAAGACAATGAGACAAATTCTGCTCGCAGCTACATCCCTGTTTGACTTCAGTGGGCGGGGGAAGGAAATCTGGGAGCAGAATTTGGCCCTTTAACTTTGGGAGCCATTTCTGTCAATGAGAAGTACAAAGCAAGGATTTGCTTATCCAAGGCCATTATTTTCCAGAACTGTACCACAAAGTTGGTAGCTCTCTCTCGAATCACACGCTTGCCCTGCTCCCAGCCAACTTATCACAGACTTTAAGTAGACAGCGGGAGTCCGGGAGGGGGATTTTCAAGAAGATCAGCCAGAGAAGTTTTTCTTCTTTTTTTCCCCCCCCCCCCTTTTTTTTTTTTTTCCCTTTCCCCAGATTCGTATGAAGAGCAAAGGCAGGGCTTTGGACAACTCTGGAGACGAAAGGCCGCTACCGCAGGAACCGGGTGTAACAAAACTTGAAAACTTGGCTCAGGAATTCCCTCCTCAAGCGCTGCTGCTCGCTGCTCTCCATGCCAGAGAAAGGGAAGGGTAGTTTGGGTCCAAAAGGTTAAGGGTTTAGAGGTCACTCTTCCCGGCTGAAATACAACTAATCGAATAGAAAATTTGTCCTCTGGGTGAACCTGTTCCTGCAATTTAGCCGAACTTCAGTAAAATACCTTTTCAGCTTCTCAACGTGAAGGCGTCAGAAAAAAGACGTCTTTACTATGTATGAACTCGGTGCTTTTTGTCATAGAAACAATGATGCGAATAATGCGGGAATATCCATCTTTAATATCACGACGTGGAGATATTCAAGTATTGCCATGTGCAAGTCTGAGAACTGGGCTAACCCTAAGGAAGAACAAAGAGTTTTCTCCAGGCTCTAAAACAAAAGACCAAGTCTTAAAGACACTTTGCGGACTGCTAGGGATGAGAAAAGGGCAGAAATTAACCGCTGCCCACAGTTAATGCAGCCGAATACACTCCTGTTGAAAAGCTTGCCTTTTATTTTCGAATTCATTCAAGCCCATTTTGGCCAGTGTTTTCCCGAGTGAGCCCAGAAAGCAGTGAGTCCTCAGTGGGAAGCACCCAGCCTGGAGATGGTCACCCCCTGCTCTTTCCACCTCCCTTCAGCGTTTGCACTGGGTTTCCTTCTTTCCCCCTTTTCCTTTAATAAAGGAATCATCTCGTTACAATTTCGATGATATTGTCCCTCTGCCAGGCTGCCCTGAGGCTACAGGAGGTAAGGGCTGAGCTTTAAAACCGCCTGAGCCGAGGTGTAAGTGGCTGAGGCAGCTGGTTTGGCTGGGTTTGGTAGTTACAGCACACTAAAACTTTGGCACGATGCAGCCAGCAACCAGGGACAAATCCGTGGGTATTGGACCAGCTCTGCTCCCATCCAAGCCTTTCCCCTTTCCCTGAAAGCAACTTGCTGAGATTTCCAACCATTGAAGTCATGTGTTGTGGTTTGCCTAAAAACTATCACTGTTCTTCAAAAAAAAAAAAAAAAGAAGAAGAAGAACCCAGCAGACCAAAATAACCCCAAAACAAAACAAAGCAGCAACCCACATAGCCTCTCTCTCTCGGGCAGAAAAGAAATTTAAAATCTGATTGAAAGAATGCATTCAGCTTTCAGCTTTGAATGGCTCAGGTTATATCAGAAATTGGACTAATTTTTCACTCTGGGGTTTTCTTTTTAGTTTTTTGTTGCGGGGGTTGGGGTTTTTTGTGGTCTTTCCCCCCCCCCCTTTTTTTCCACCCCCATTTTTAAATGAGGTATCGATGGTTTAAAGCACAGCGCTGAGCAGAGGAGACTTTGGAAACAGATTTCAAGCCTGTTAGCCCTGGATGGCACACGGTAAGGAGCAGGGACGCTTCTCCTATTCACAAAGAAGGCAATTCAAAAACAGGGACAAGAAAGTTGTGTACGTTCAAGACAAGTAAACATTACACATGTGTTCATGAGACTGGGAAGGAGAAATACTGTATTTCAGCTACCCTTCCCCGTTTTTGGTTTGACTATTTTTCTTTTTATCTTCACTCTTCTACGTAACAAATAAATAAATACGCTAACACTATCAGTACATAAAATAACCCGTTTTCACTTAATTCCTATGCACAGCTTCTGAGACGTTATGGAAATGAGCAAGTATTTTCATTACACCAAGAAAGGTAAAGCAGCACAAAAAGTCCACAATTACTAGTCTTTATGTTCAAATAAAAGACTATGCTATAAATTTCCTGTCCTCAACTTGCCCAAATGCATCCTCCCGAAATTGCATGGGATAAAAAGACAATTAAAAGTAAAAATCCCAGAATAAAGCATCAAACCTTCACTTTCAAATTCAAAACTGAAACACAGGACAGTTTCATTTTCAATGATTTATTACTTTTTATGGACAGAAGGTCTCGTTTAATATTTTCCCAATTCCCACTGCCTGCATGATGTGTCTTTTTTTCCCTCTCTCTCTTTCCGCCCCCCCCCCCTTTTTTTTCTTTTTTAGGTTGTGCTAGCAGAGGCAAATAAAATAAAAGTCCAAAGTAGCGTCATTTTGTCTCCTGTGTACAACGGTACCTTAAAGAAAGATGACAGTTTCTCGAGTCCTTAGCTGCTACATGCAGGTTCTGCTTGGGCAGTGTCAGTTATGTACAGTACTGGTCAGAAGCAAAGGATGAAATGGAAAATTTCACCTCTTCTACAAAGTTGTCAAGTCAGTCTGATGGTCCTTGGAACCAGTCTGTAAATGGGGGTTTGAACCAGAGGAAGAAGACCTGCCCTTCGTGTTGGGCAGTTTGTGGTCTTTTTTCCACTTCATTCTTCTGTTCTGAAACCAGATCTTGATCTGGCGCTCAGAGAGACACAAAGTGTGGGCTATCTCGATACGGCGGCGCCTGGTCAGGTACCTGTTAAAATGAAATTCTTTTTCCAGTTCTAGGACTTGCTGTCTGGTGTAAGCTGTGCGGGAGCGTTTAGGTTCCCCTCCGTTGTAATTGGGATTCACTGGGAAAAAAATACGGAGAACTTTACAAAGCTAATCTTGACTTGCCGGTTCGACTTTACAAAAGAAAACCTTACGAGCTGCGAGCATGTGGCCGGGCTGGATTCGTCCCAGTTGCTTACAATGGACGGGCTGCTCTCCCCCTCATTTAAGGCAGGCGCTCCAGGCACACGCAGCACAGCTAGGTAGGCTGGGAGCCCCTAGCAGGCTCCTAAAATGGAGTTTTTCCCCTGCACGGCAAAGCCCCGCATGGCCAACGGCCTATTTCCTCAGCAATAAAAATTTATGACGAGTGTAATTGGCTACCTCGGCTTAAAAAGCTCGTCCACGAGTCTGGCAGGGACTCGGGCGAGCGTCGCTGAGGACGATCGGAAGCAGGGTAGAAGAGCAAAGTAAGAAGAGGATCCTTACCCGAGTTAACATGGACTTTCTTCATCCAGGGATAAACTACTGCTGGCTGCTTAAGTGCTGACCCGTTTGGGGGTTTGAGGGCCGGCTGCTGGCTGCAGGCTCGCGAGTTGGACATTGGAGGCGGTGGACAATGCTCTGCTTGGCCGGGGAAGTGGCTCGCCGGGCCGGATTGCTCCTGTCCGTGACCCCGCGGCTGCACGGCAGAGCCTGGGGCATTGCTACAGCTAAAGGGCTGCTCGCTGTAGTTTGACCGTGGGTAGAGTCCCTGGTGCTGGAAATCAGAGCCCTGCGAGGCACTGTAGTACTCGGCCCCCTGCTCGCCTAGGTAGCTATTCTGCAAATATTCCTCGCAAGGAGGAAATTTGGGATCCACATACTTAGAGTTCACCATATACGAACTCATGGCCATTAATTTCTGAAGGTAGAAAATACTAATTTTTCTCGTGTTGTCTTTTTTTCCCCTGCCATAGAGCCCTCCTACTTGCTGTCAACTGAATAAAGTTAGGCGGGCATGTGACCGGCCCGGCCAATGGGGAGGCGGGAGCCGATCACCGGATTTCTCCGCAGCTCAGCATTTCCACCAATTTCACTCCATAATATCCCGGTAACCGGGTGACCCCCCTCCCCGGCGGGTCGCACCCCCCGGGCCAGGTCCCGGCGGTGCGGGGACGCTCCTCGGGCGGCGGCCGCCTCCCCGGCCCGCAGGTAGGGCCAGCCTTTTGTCCGAGCCGCCTGCCCGCAGCCCCCACCGGCGGTGCCCCGCCGGCCGATTGACCGGCCGCAGTCGCCAGCGGGGTTCGTCACCTCGCTTGAAATAAAATATCGAAAGAAATACGCGGAGCGAGGAGCTGAAGTGGGGTTAAAAGGGAGGAAACGGGCAAGGAGGCGAGGAAAAGAAAAGCCATCAAAGAAGAGGGTAATATGACGTACAATGGATCTGTCCTGTCTTTGTCTCGCAGAGGTCATCCAAAAGTTACCAGAATTTAGTTCTGCTGAATAAAATTAGGCAATCAGTAACTTCTCATTCACTTTCAAGCCTCAATATATATGTGTGCACACGTATGGGGGCACACAGGCAAACGCCCACGTATATACGCGAATCTGTACACGCGTGTGAGTAAAATCATACAGATGGCAAGAAACCGTTCACTTTTAACCGCTGAAGTTCAATCAATTGAGCTGAAGACGGCATTTAATTAGGTTAAAAATATCACGGGTTTAATGAGGTAAATTCGGTCTTCATTCATCAATATCATTCCTGGAGCACAAGTAAATACCTTCCAGTGAGGCGAATGCTGCTTTTGCTGCTGTCGTAAATATTTTGATGCGATCTGGACCCTTGACAGAAAAAATTTGCTAACTTCTGGCAGATCTAGCTAATTCATGAGTATCTTTTTAAAGATTCATTCACTGATTGGTAGATAATTTTTTTTTTCAGAAAATTTGTAACTTCTGCTGAGATTAACTGTTTAAATTCACAGTCTGTCAGTGAGAGTTACGACTGAACGACAACTGAAATTTTAAGAGACGTCCTAAAACCTAGCAAATAGGAGGGAGGCAGCAAAACTTTTATAATTTCTGAGTGTTCGGCACGCACACGCCTTTTGATTCCGCCAGTATTTAAACTTCTAACCATTTGCAGAAAGGTGAAGTTTTTGCATCGACCATATATTCCCCTAGAATCGAATCTGTGACTATATGAATATCACACAAATTCGGTTCTACAGGGTATATATAGACAACGTAATAACATTCTGTTTTCATCTACAATAGAGCAGGTCTTTGCAATTCTCTTAGTCCTTACTGTCTTCTGAGGAATGCAAACTATTCTGCTGGGACTCAGTTCTGAAATACGGATTTGCAGGAAGGTGGGATTTCAGAAAAGATTCACGCTTGGTATTATCGCTGCAATAGAGCTCTACGACTCTCCACCAATTTATAGCGATGAATTTCGCCTACCAAATTCTCAGAAAGACCTGCTGCTCACTTTAAATGCTCTGCCGTTTACGTCCTCGCTACGAAAAACGGACGTTACCGGTCAAATTGCGCTATTTAGAATAATAATGGTTAAAATAATTTAGAAAAGAGCCTTTATCTATTTAGGCTAACACGAATCTGAAGAGATTCTCCATAATTAGAAATCCTCCCCCCCCCCAGACAAAAAAAAAGAATTAAAAAAAAAAAATCGAAACAGAAGTAAAGCAGCCGACAACAGAAACAGCGATCGGTGAAAAAGAGGAGATTAAAGGCTGGAGTTAGTTGCTCTCGGGAAGCAGAGAGTTTCCAAATTTACCTTCATCCCATTATGCTGGTCTAGCTATTATCCCTGCGAGCTGCCTGCGAGCCGCAGCCTCGCACCCTCCCAGGTTCTCCCCGCCGTAGCGTTTATGGTGAAGGGCAGGGCGAGAGGTCAGCCGAAATCATTTACAAACATATCACAAAGTTTCATTATTTTTACTTTGTCGACAGCGGCACACAGGAGTACAAAAGTTCATGAATTGTGTCTGACCCAGCTCCTCACTGCTGTCCTGCGGTCAACCTCTTCTCCTTCCACTATTTAAAACAGGCACCATAAGGACAAATAATGGTGCGGGTGTGATACGTCCAACCACTGCGGAGGGCAGATTTGGGGGTGTTGCGTTTATCCGAGCGATGTGTACCGGTTTGTTTGCCTGCCTTCAACTCCCAGCTGCCTGATCTGGAGGATGCTATTTTTAAACATCTGCTTTCTTAGCACTGCGGTGGTGTCTTCTTCACAGCAAGTGCAACTCGAAACGACTTTGTGTCCCTAATCTCTTTCCCCCCCCCGCCGCCCCGGATTATTTAAATCTCCACCCAACTATTTTAAGCGGCTCGCCCCGCTTTCTCCTCCTTTCTCTGAGGGGAGGGGGGATAGCACCCCCCCGGGGCGGGGTATTAACCACCCGGCTGAACTGGCAGGGGAACACCCCCCCCCCCAAAAAGGCGGGAAACCCCCCCCCCCCCAAAAGGGAGCCGGCTTTGGGGGCAGCCCCGGGAGCGGCCAAGCCCGCCGAGGGCTGCCCGGGGAGAAGCGATGGGGCTGGGGAAGCAGCAGCTCCCCGCTCTCTTTAATACTACACATTTTCATATTTGTTAGACGCTGTGACCTGCGTTTCACCTTATTGCACGACTTGCTCAGACAGGTCAAAGCCAAAGAGTTATTGATGAACAAAAGCGTTATATATTCACCTCCTGTTCAACTGCCCATACAAAACGCTTTTGATCTACCAGGCTTTTTGTATTCTGGTTCATAATCAGTATGCTAAATGTACGTTGGCAGAAAACAAGTAATCCATACATTTAGGGCCGGCCCTGGAGTAAAATGCCAAGGGCATCTACACAGCGCAAGGCTGAGCTACGCGGGGAGGAAAGTTACCTATGGAACAGAATTAAAACTGCAACGCTGGAGGCGATTCTTTAGTTCGTATTTAAAGGGCTCGAAAACCAATATCTCCACATAAGGCAAAAAGAGAAGAAGCCTGGCACAAGCAGTGAAAGAGATTATTTATCAGCAAGCAGGGAGAAACGCAAACAAACACAGCTCCGCTCCTCGACAGCTCCGGGGCTGGCAGAAGCAGGGAGGGCAACATATACCGAATGAATGAATCTGCAAATATCGCAGGCTTTCTTTTCCTCCTTGAGAGACAAGCCGGTCTCAGTCTGAAGCACCAGGACTGATGCACTTAGCTCCTTACTGCAGCCAGAAAGGTCCAACAGCATTGCCTGCTGCACACAGATCTGCTGCCCTCCCCTCGGTCCCCCCAGCGCAACTCATGCGGGACCATCGGGGATGCGGAAACCCCTGCAGCAAAAGGTTGCCCTCCTAAGCTCAGACACCCACTCCCCCCCGCGCCTTCACAGCATTTACATCCACGTTTGACTCTCCCTTGCCCGGAGAGACCTAGTACCAGAGGACGAGCGCTGCCGCCCCGCACGACCCGGCTGCAGCGTGGGCTGACCCGGCTGGCTGGCGCTGACAGCCTCCAGCCTCCTTCACTCATTCACCAGGCTATGCCAAACGAGGTCGACGTTAGAGAGCAGGCACAACTCCGCTTTGCACCCCGTCTGGAGACAAGGGGGGGGAGCCCAGGTCCTGAGGCGCTGGGGCACGGCGCCGCCCGCCCGGGCTCTGGGCGGGGAGGCGCTGGGCGGCCCCGCCGAGCCGAGCCGGAAAGGCTGCTGATTGCCTCGGGGGGGTGAAGAGCAGGAGGACACCTGTACAGCCCTAGAATAAACCCCCGGGAGGCTGCACCTTTAGCGCTAGCCGGGGTTATGACATGGTACCACAAGCCGACTCCACAGAGACTTCACATGCTGACAGCCTTTTCTCCTTTTTTTTTTTTTTTTTTTTTTTTTTTTTTGTAGCAACATTCAGCAGGGATACATCAGTTTAAATTCTTCCAGTCTGGAGGGAAGAAACAGGATTTTCAAGCATCGCAAACTCTACAAGAAATAAGAGGTTACTTACCGTGGATGTCCTTCCATGCTGCCGAACCTGTTGCAATAAAAACGTTTGTTACTGTTGTATTCCACATACGGGTGATATTTCTGGAGAACAGTTACAGAGCACGTTTGATAGATGAAGGCAGAGAGGAGCTGGTGGTAAATCCTGCGAGCAGCGGAGTGGTGGGGTGGAAGCCCCTTCCGAATGAGGACCACGTTGCATTCAGGCAGTTTTTTATGAACACATGCTTTCCCTGTGACCGGGGTGTGATCTTTCACTTTTAATATTCATAGTCTAGATTTTATACTGGATAATTTCTAAAGGGATGAAAAGTCAGACCTCCCTCTTTCACTGATGGAAAAAAAAGAATAACAAAGGCCTTTTTTTTTTGTTCTGTGGCAATCCAGTCACTTACAAATGAAATATTCAGATCACCTTTGCTAAACCATCACCCATAAAATGTCACAATATGCCAGGCAGCATCGTATCCGTGCTGAGCACAGAAAGAACTACAATTTTATAAGAATAAAGCTCGGATTACTCTAGGATAGGTCCCCTTTAAGATCACCTAATTAACCAAACAGTAACCACGACACATGCGTCTTTGTTTTCATTACAGAAGGACGGATTTGACTTGAACTTTCCTTCAAATCTCGTAATAAATACATTCAAAGATCACATTAAGGAAAACAAAAACACGCGCTCGGTCTAATGCTCCTGAAAACGCAACCTATATTTTAGAGGAAAATGCTAATATTGGGGGTTTCTTTTCTGTAAGCGATTTTTCACCCCTTCTGTCACCTTCCTACGATATCTTGGGAAGTTATCGTATTACACACAGAGCGATTGCCTCGGTATCAATAGTTCACTAGATAGAGCTTCCCAAGACTTTTTTTTGTTAAAAAAATATTTTCTTAGTTCTGCCCACTCCTGATAGCATTCAGAGCTTGCGAGGACAGTGGAACAATATCAGCGTTTCGGCACTAAACATTCTCTTACGGGTCCTTTCCTTTCTTTTTTATCCTTTTTTTTTTTTT